CGAGTAAAAAAGCCAGTAAAACGGCCATAACTCTTCACTAATACGCCATGGGAACGAACGCTTCTAAGAGTTTTCTTAGTCTCACTGAGGCCTACCTGTAGTCAAAAGATGAAGCCGAAAGCTCGGAATCAGTTGGATATGTTCCCTCGTTAGACCCGAAGTTTATTACTACTATGAAGATATTGTATTTTTATGGTTTTATTTTATTCTATGTGATGATCACTGTGAGTAAGAACGAACATATTCTTGCTAACAGAATTACATCTTAAAAAAAGAATGTCTATCTTAGGACGTGTTTCAAGAAATAGAGCGTTTCTGTGACGAGATAATATCTATATATCCAAGCTATAGTTTGTTCATAGAACGAAAATACGGAAGATCAAAACGTTTTCTCATATGTGTTTTCCTTCGAGAAAATTTGAAGAAGTCGAGTTTCTAATGGAATTACTCGACCATCGTACGATTTAGGATTTAATTTGTTAAATAGTTTCTTTTTTTTCATAGTATGATCTGAAAGAATTATCTGATCAAATAACTTTAATCTGTTCAACTTATTTTCGTGCTATAACATCTCAAGAATTACTTTATCGTTTACCAAATTTATATAATTTACAAAATTATATGAAATTTCTTGATAAAGTGGTTTGTATTTTTTGAAAAAAACAAAAACAAAAACAAAAACATCAATTGATTTTAGCTTGGTTTTTGGTGTAAACGATCAATATTAGAAACATCAAATTTTGAAGAACGTGTTGCTGTTACAGAACGTTTTATTCAAATAGCTATACGAGCATATGAAAAGAAAAATTTTGCAGCTGTTTTTGCTATTATATTTGGTGGAATTATTGATTTAGAAAAATCCTTACCGCATACATGGGATGTAAGTAACAATTGCTTGTTTTTTTTTTCTTTTCTTCTTTTATTTAATTAGATAAAATAATATAAATTATTTATTTTTTAGCGTCTTAGTAAACAAAGTCGAGCATTTGTTACATTAGTTGATGACATGCTTGGTGAAGATTCACATTTTAAATTATATTTTGAAAAATTACGTCAAAGTCCTTTACCAGTTGTACCATTTATTGGTAAGAAAATTTAAAACTCGTTTTTTTTCTTTTTTGAATTTTTTTTCTTTTTTGAATTTTTTTTCTTTATTTAAGCAAATAATCAAACACGTATTGCACAAATGAAAGAAAAACATAATATAATTGTTTTATCTACTGGTGAAATATTAATTAATTTTCGAAAATTTCAACAAATTGGTGAACATTTATGTGAAATTCAACAATATCAAAATATGCCTTATGATATTATACCTAATTATGATATACAAAGAGAATTAAAAAGACTTAATCCAATGAAAGGTTTTCAAGATGAAAATAGCTTTCAAAATTATCTTGTTACACGTAAAGAATATATTGAACCAGTTGATTCATCTCCAAAAGTATTTGTAAGTTGATAAATTTATTTTAATTATAATAATTTTGTTTCTTTTTTTTTTAATAGTCAATACGTCGACCACCACATACATGGCGTTCTTATTCACGTGTTTCTCGTCTTTTTATGATTCCATCAACATCATTTAATTCACATTCTCGAACATCAAGTCAATGTGATGAACATAATCATCAAAAATCAAATACTGATATACCAAATCGTAAGATGTTTTGTTTTTTGCTTTTGTAAAACACAATCTAAAAGAAATATTGAAATTGCCATGAAAATTATATCAACCCTAACAGGTACTTTTTTAGGTGTAAATGTCTATCGACGATTTATATTGAGACTTAACAAAACTATTGAATTCTTGTCTTGAAATTAGCTCCATTTGATGGTCTTAGTTGTATGAAAAATTTTCGAATGTGAAGACTTTGTATCTACGAGCTTTGAACTTGTCAAAAATAGACGATTTGCAAATAATACAAGAATATTTTGATATATTCGCATCCCGAAGAAACGAAGTCTGAAACTTTTCATAAAATTCTAGTGAATATACTGAGTTTAGGGTATCCTACTATCAATATATCACACGAACCTTTGGGTACGTCAGTATTTTAAGGTACTCTATGGGATTTTAACGCTTCACTACAAAATGCTTTAGAAATCGGTCAGACACCGAGTAAGTATTCATATACTAAACAGTTCTCAACGATGTATCCAACCAAGATTCTGTGACATACTTCATACTGGATACCTGAGAAAGGTACTCTAGTGTCAGCTTACCCAATACACGAGTCCTCGTTAGTCACGAAACGAAAGCTTTCTGCAGTATTATTGTAGAAATAAATGCGAAAACCTCGGATTTAAATCCGAGTGCTATGTGTGCTTCAAAAAGTGAAAAGGTATATTCACTGTGTTTTTTATCACTAAATTGCAAGAAGAAAATACAGACGTGCTAAGTTAGCATGGACCATACTGTATGCGACCCTATCCGGTGACCACTGACTCTACTCTCACAGTGATATTATATCTTTAGAAATCACAGGAATTGAGTTCAGAT